GCAGGCCGCAGCCTTGCTAGCACATGCCCTCCTGGGACAGCGGGGTGGGAGTTGGGAGGAGAGGGCAGCTATTTTATTTTAATTACATTAACTTTAATTTTTATAAAGTCGTTAACAATAATTCATTGCATTTAATATTCAAACACCAATCCCACCATCACTGTACCTTCCCACCACCATATTTCAAAGTTTCCACTCCAAATCCCAAACTGTGCCCCCCAAAGCAGAACCAAAACAATTAATTTTGTTGTTTGTTATGAATAATCCGCTAAAAACGGTCCAATAATATAAAGTAACAAAATAGGAGACTAACACCCAAGAATAGTCAAGATAAGTACCAGGAGGTTTGCTCCATGGCTTGGAGGCCAGCTGCACATGCTGGGGGAAAAGGCAGCTCAGATAGAGAAGGGAACATCAAGTTGGGAGGATCTGCCCAGGATCGGAGATGCATGATGAAAGTAGACTATAGATCGAACATGATTGCCACTCAATACCTCTTTTGCACACCCCAACACCCAAAAGGAGAGAGAGAATAAAAGGGAATGCCCTGCCACAGAGGCAGGGTGGGAAAAGGGGGATTGTGGGAGGGATACTGGGGTCATTGGTGGTCGAGAATGGGTACTGCACAAAAATTTGTAAGTTTACAACTGTACCTCATGGTGTTTCACACTGTTACTGTCACTGTCCTCCCGTTGTTCATCGATTTGCTAGAGCGGGCAAGCTACCCGTGACGTATTCAATATGCCAAACACAGTAACAACAAAGTCTCAGGATGGAGATGTTACTGGGTGTTTCACAAAAAAATAAAAAAGTTCTCTTAGCAGCCATATTCCATTCCAATTGCTTACTGTAAAAACTCACATTCTATGTGAGCTCTATGGAACTGCAAAAATGCCTTTAATGTGCCTTTGAAGAAATGTGAATGGTGAAATCTAGATTTTTAAAAAATGAATTATAGATTTACCATTTGAAAAAAAATGGTCCAATAGTGTTTCCTCAGAGGAAAGGAGGAAAGGTTGTGTGGATGGTTGTATTTCACCCTGGAGCCATTAAGAAGAGAGGGCAGCTTTCGTTGCTCTCCTGTTCTGGGAAGGGTCTGGTAGCCAGTAATGTGGATGACATCTGGGAGAGAGTCTTATTTTCTTCTAGTTCATCCTGATCAAAAAAAAATTTTTTAATTGAAGTTTTTTTTTTTTTTTGGTCTCCCAAGCTGTGCTCAGAGCACCTCAGGGCTGCCCTCGGCAATGCTTGACTCGACTGTGTTGACAGCTCAATGCTTAAATCATTTCCTGGATGACTCAGTGCTGGGTGATGTGGGGGTCTTCAGACCCCGGATTCAGGGGGCTGCCAGAGCCACACCAGGGTCTTGTTCAGAGTCCTGACCACCAGGGACTGACCTCAGGGACTAGGACATGTCGAGCAGACGCTCCAGCCCTCCACCTCCCACCCCTCACCCCTAATCACAGTGTGGCTGGTGCTGCATCATGAGAAAACACAGTACCCAAAGTGCCCTCTCAGAGCATGCCACGGCCTTCGTCACACTTCTCCTCTGAGGACCATCCCAGGTAGGGAGCAGAGGGTGGTCTTGGAGGTCCCACAGACTTTAGCTGAAATCTCCCTTGAACTTCTTGTGTGAATTGGAGTGATTCAATCACTTCTGAGCAAAGAGTCTCCCTCGGTTCCCTGGTCTTTAAAATGGGAATGAGCATGCATCTCCCTCAAGTGTGGTTCAGAAGGGTAAAGCTGGACGTTTGGTGGGAACTTCAGATAGAATAAACACAGGCTGATTCTCAGTGAGGCCCCACCGAAATACATAGAATGTTATTCAGGTTAGACTGTATCATCATTTTGGTATCAATAGGATTCATGTTTTAGCAAAAACAACCCCACAATGGCAACACAAAAATGTGCCCCCCTCCCAGGGCTGGAGGATGCTGATGGGGTCATACATCTGGCAGGGACAAGGCCAAGTCTGATTCCTATGCAGCTCCTAGCCAGGCCCAGTCCCTAACTGTTAGACAGACATTGCTAAGGAGTGCCAGAGGCCCTGAGCTCCCCTGAATGGTTCCTTGGAAGAAAGGTATGGAGCACAGTGACAGGCACCAGAGCAGATAGATCTGTCCCTGCATAGCAGATAAGACTGTCCCTGCAGAGTGATCCAGTAGGGAGTTTATGGGTGTATTGTACAAGCACCAGGTATCCGGCCTTGAGTCTCGCCCAACCCCCACAAGAATTGTCACTTACTCTTACTGAACCATTCCTAACTGCAGCATCTAGCCCTAATTGGGATTGGGCCAGGGCAAAGCAGAGTTGGAAAGGTGATAGGTCAGTAACGCTGAACTCTATGTGATTGGACCATCCTCTTAAGCCGCGAGACCCTCTATAAAATATGTGTGTATTTGGCAATAAAGCAAGTGGACATCAGCTTTTACTGGAGTGGTTTCTCTGCACACCTGCTATCCCTTGCCCTATGCCTGCCTGGACTTGGTGCACAACGTGTCTGGGCACACTGGGGAAAAACAGTTCCCCAACAGAAAAGAGGGCTGGAGCGATAGCACAGCGGGTAGGGCGTTTGCCTTACAAGCGGCCAACATGGCCGACCCGAGTTCGATTCCTCCGCCCCTCTCGGAGAGCCCGGCAAGCTACTGAGAGTATTCGATATGCCAGACAGAGTAACAACAAAGTCTCCAATGGAGACGTTACTGGGCCCGCTCGAGCAAATCGATGATCAACGGGAGGGCCTTTACCTTTACCTTTTAACAGAAAAGAACCCAGGGGCCAGAGATAGTACACAGAAGGAGGTAGGTGGTGGTGGTGGGTGGGGGGTGGGACCAACTTGGTCCCTGGAGCTGCAGGCCCCTTCCTCTGACCCTCACATGGAACTGTTGGTCTAATTGGCCAAAAATTGCCAGGAGTGGTCCCGGGGCCCCTATATTGATTAGGAGATTGACTCCCACCCCCAACACACCAGAAGAATGCACCCTGCCCCTCTCTTCCCCTCCCCCCTCACTTCAGTTCCTCCTTTCCCTCCTCTGCTGCCACCTGCATGGGCCCTGGTGTCTGAGTTGACCCGAGGTGACCGACCACACGCATTTTCTCTTGTCTTTTCCACCCTCGTCCTTTCCTCTGGGTTCTTGTTCTGCACTGTCCACCAGCACCCTGCTCCTGACAGAAGAGATCACGTACCCTTCCCTCCCTGCCCTGCCCTGTCTGGCAGAGCCAGCTACCAAAGGCGAGCTGTGAGTGAGTGTGTGGCTACCACCAGCCCCATTGGAGTCCGTAGCACATAGTAGGTGCTTACAAAGGGACACTGACTCATTTCTGGTGCAGCTGCCTCTGTCAACCCACCTTTGATTTTGTTTCTTCCTGCTTGATCCTTGAGGGTGAGTGGGGTGAGCTGGGGACAACTCCAGCGGAAGCGTCCAAGTGGAGACAAACTAGGGATGATAAGCTCCTGGCTTAGGAAAACAGTGCACACTCTTTAAAGCCTCCCGGAATGAAAGACCCATTATTTAAGGCAGGATAGCAAGTCCAAGAAAAAGTTGCCTTTGTCAATTTTGCATGCCCCTCAAAACTCCTACCCCAAATGCAGCACTGGGGTGAGGTACCCCTGCCCCGAGTTCCAGCTGCCCGCCAGCTCTTGTTTCCCCCCCATTGCCCATTTTGAGGGTCTATTCTCTCCACCCCTTTAATTCCGGCCAGTCCAAATATTCTGTCAACTATTTCTGGGACTATCCTTGAAGGGGAAGAAAAAAAAAAGATTTTCTCAAATCTGTGAACAGAACTTTTTTTTTTTGAATGTCAAAATAAACCATCTGCTTGTACAACTGTTTCTAATTACTCTCCTGCCTGGTCTCGCCACTGGAGGGGTTTGGCACCAGCACCCCGCCCAGAGCCGAGCCGCTGCCCACATGCTCCCAGACAGCTCATCAACGCACCCGCGACTCCGGGCAGAGCCCGCGACCTGCCTGCCTGAGTGTCCGTGGGTCCGTCTGCCCGGCCATCTGAGGGTGGGTCGCGCCGGGCACCCTGCAGAGGAGTGTGCAGAGCGCCAGGACCCCCGGCCCCAGGCTCTGAACTCAGCATGCGTCCCGCCGGACTCAGAAGCTCCTGGCTGCTGGCGTGCTCGCTCCTGCTCGCTGGGCTGGCCGCGGTACCTCCCAGCTTCTTGCCCTCGCTGAGGTAGGTTGGGGTTGTTTCTGCCCGGCTCGCTGCTGCCCCTGGCTAATGGGTTTCCAACCTGTCCCCACTCCTGCCTTCTCTCTCCAGCGTGGGTGGCTGCCCCGGCGTCCCCTGGCTGTGCCCCCCCCCCCCCCCCCCGGGAGGAAATACCATCATTGAATCAAGAAAGACTTTCTGCCATGCCAATACGTATCAGAAGTCCCCAGGCAGCTGCAGGAACTTGGCTGGGTGTTCTCAGAACCCCTAAGGCCGATTTCAGGGGCCCTGATTCTACACTCTATTAAATAAGTGACTTGCTAATTGCAATAGCTACACTTTGAGGAAAGTGTAGTTGGGGGCGGAGAGAGAGAAAGCATAAGTCTGCAAGGCACCTGTCTTGCAGGCAGCAGAGCAGAATTTGATCTCTGGTCCCTTGAGCACCCCGAGGAGCGATCCCTGAGCACAGAACCAGGAGCAAGCCCTGAGAACTACTTGATGTGCTCCTCCCCCCCCCCCCCCCCCGCCACACACACTCCAAGCCAGGAAATCATTCAAAAGTGTAATTCATAAATTGCAGCTTAAAAAAAAAATCCTCTCTGTGTTCTAAGTTCCACTGACCTTTCTATAGCGGCTTCTCTTATTTTCGTAAAATAATCATTCCTGGTCACACTGGGTGAATTTGAATTGCACGCAACACTCATCATTTGTCTCCTCCTCCTCCTCCTTCTCCTCCTCCTCCTCCTCCTCCTCCTCCTCCTCCTCCTCCTCCTCCTCCTCCACCTCTTCCTCCACCTTTTTCTCTTCCTCCTCTTCCTCCCCATCCCATCCCCCCCCCGCCAATGCTGCCTACTCCTGTGGAGAAGGGTCCTGTTCCTTGGCATGCAGTTGACCGCTTAGACATTTGGGTCCCTCTTCTTTTCCGGGCAAAGTTCATCATGTGGGATTTCCTCCCCAGGGAGCACAGGGACCTCCTACGGGTTTTGTGACTGAGGAAGGTGGAGGCCCAGGCTCCCTCACTGTGGAGTTTTCTCCACCCGGGGGCACAGTGGGGGAGGGCGGCAACCTGTCCTTAACCCAGGTGTCCTGTGGCTTTTCGTCCTCCGCAGAAACTGGCCCGGTGGCGCGTGCAGACTGTCCCGGGCCGAGTCGGAGCGCCGCTGCAGGGCTCCGGGGCAGCCGCCAGGGGGCGCGCTGTGCCACGGCCGGGGCCACTGCGACTGCGGGGTCTGCATCTGCCACGTGAGCGAGCCGGGCATGTACTTCGGGCCCCTGTGCGAGTGTCACGAGTGGGTGTGTGAGACCTACAACGGGACCACCTGTGCAGGTACGTGCGTGACCTTACCCTGCCCTGCCCCGGGTCGTGTTTGCAGGGAGGCCTGCGCTGGGCGACCAGGGCTGTTCCCTTGCAGGGTGCGAGAGGGGCCAAACCCGGGCGTGGGAACCTTGATTTGTCCGCGGAGTTGGTGCACCGGGAGGGCACGTGAGAAGCAGCGGCGAGGCGGGCAAACGAATAAACAGAAACAGACGGGGAAATCCTGGCTCGGTGTCGTCGGGGCTGTAGGAATGTTTCAGCTGCAGAGAATCTTGGTATTTGGGGTCAGGGTGGAGTAGACAGAAACCCACACGCCGCGTGCATTTTTAAGGAATGATTCGGGGACTGATAGATTGCATCGGCTCAGGCTATTTCTTCCACTGAAAAAAGCCAGATCTCTCCTCTGCCACTGTCCACGGCCTTGTGCCATTCCCACAGCTCCGGCTGGGTCGATGATCCAGGCCCTCCGTTAGGAAAAGAAGACAAGGCATTCCATCCCGACGTGGGCAAATTCTACACCTAAAAGGAAAAATAAACCCCCTTTATTTGGTGCTCCTTCTCTATGCTGAAAGTAGACTATAGACCAAACATGATTGCCACTCAATGGCTCTTATGCAAACCACAACACCCAAAAGGAGAGAGAGAATAAAAGGTAATGCCCTGCCACAGAGGCAGGGGGGGATGTGAGGGTGGGAGGGATACTGGGATCCGTGGTGGTGGGAAATGGGCACTGGTGGAGGGATGGATATTTGATCATTGCATAATTGAAACCCAAGCACAAAAATTTGTAAGTCTACAACTGTACCTCATGGTGTCTCACTAAATAAAAATAAAAAATAAATAAATAAAAGGAAGAAGAAAAGGGGCACAACTTACTTTTCTAAGAAATGAGCATTGAGGACCAGCTGAGAGACAGTGAGGTGGTTATTTTTGTTGGTTTGGTTTTAGTTGGCCGTTAGGGCCCGGACGTGCATATGCAAGAATGCTCCCTACATGGGCTGAATGCTTCAGCTGGGCGGACAAGTGTCCTCTCTCTGAGAAATTCTGAGAAGCACAGGTGCCTTTAAATGCCTTTCCCTGCGGTTTGTTGACCTGTTACAACCATGAATGCCCCATCTTACTGTTTTGTCTTCATCCATCCCATCAGCCTCACTTGTTTTCCCAGATAACCCCTTTGAATGAAAGCCAAGCACGGTCACCTGATATTTCACTCCAGTTTCTAATCCTTTCAGATTTCTTTCCAGGCTTCCCAGCCTCTCTGGTTCTTATCGCCACTGGCAAGGTCTCTGCAATATCAGGCTTCCAGGGCTGTTCACCCTCCCACCCTGCTCCTGGACAGTCGGAATCGTTTTTACACTGGGGAGTCAGATGGGAGAGGCTGCCTGAGATCAGGAACCCTTGCTTGAGTTCAAGGCTGGTGATCTTTCCAGAAGCAGTGCGGCCGGCAGCCTGAGACATCCCCTGGAGAGAATGGCTGGTCCCCACAGGCTCACCTCTTACTCACCTCTCCTGGTTTCCTCCCTGAGGGGATGTGTTAATGCACCACATCTATCTCCAGCATTCCTTCCTCCCCGAACACAGAGCCAGCCTGAGTCACGCCTGGCTTTGCCTGCTGATGCATTCTGGGGAAGGCGCTCAACTCCAGGCTGCATGAAATAAATGCTCATCTTCAATTGCATCCTCCCCTCTCTGCCCGTGCCAGAGTGTGTGGGGCCCTTGTGTGCCAGACCAACTGGAGGGGGGGGTGTCCTCCCAAACAGACCACCGTGCGCTTGTATTGAGTATTGAACAGCCCCCCAGTTTCACCTCCAAGAACGTGGCGTTCCAAGCTGTTATAGCCAATGGCGTTTCTCATCACGCAGCTCTGAAATCGTCCCATGGGTACGATAGAAATGGAGCAGCTTGTCTCCGGATTTCTGTGGGCACTCAGACTTCACCCCGGGCTATCTCCCTGTAAGTGCTCCCCAGAATAGCTTTCAGAGAATCCCGCGCAACACAGAGCGGCTGAGAGCAGAGGCTTGGAGGGGAAATTTCCAGGATTCCAGCTGAGCTCCAGCACTTAACCTTGGGGAAACTTGAGCAGTTCCTCAATCTTCCTGCGCCTGTGATGCCGGTGGGGTGCTGAGGTGACTTATGTGAAGCAGAGAAGAGAGAGACAACCTGGAGAAGGGGAGCAGCCCTTCCACCCAATCCAGCTCTGCCATGCTGGGAAACTGCTGCAAAGTCTAGGACTGATGAGGTCTCGATGGGCTCCTGCACGGCACAGACCTGAGTCCCACCCGTTCCATTAGGTAACTGTCGAGCTACACCTGACGTCCACTTATTCTGTGTGACATGGGAGTAAATATCCACCCATACCCCTCAATTTCTCAGGGAGCCATGAACCCAGGCTGTAGCAAATAACTGCTCTTTGCAGGAGAGGAAAGTCAGTTCTAGACCTTACCCAGGCATTTGATTCCTTCACTTTCTCACACAGGAGACGTTTAGGAGGAGAGAAGCAGTGCAGTAAAGAAACAGATTTTATTTGGAGGTTTTGAGGAAGGAGATAAAGGTTTTGAGAGGAGAGAGAGAGAGAGAGAGAGAGAGAGAGAGAGAGAGAGAGTGTAACATGCTCAAGACAGAACAAGGATTTCTCTGAAGGCAAAGAGAACTCAGCATATATCCCAGCATTAGATCTGAAAGCAAGAAACTGCATATCTCAAGACGGGAGATGCAGGCAACACATGTGTTTGGGACTTATACGTGCTCAGCCATGACACATGGACGCAAGCAGCATATGGACTCGGGCAGTGTATACTCACACTTTGTTCAAGCTGGCTTTGATCGGGTTTCTTCCGGAGGTGCCCATGTGGAGCTTTCAACTGAAATAAGAGTCTGTTGCTAGGGCGGTTGCCAAGGGGGTAGAGATGGGAGTAGTGGATGGTCTCCTTTGAAATTCCTTCCCTGGACCGTCTCTCTTAGGCAGGTCCAGCCTTTCCTGGGTCTATGTTGGCACCAGGTAGAGGTTTCATCAGGCCTTAGTTCCTGTGTCCACAAGGTGGTTCTTGACAGTCTCAGGGTGAGTTGTTTTCATTATTCCTCAGGAATTAATTGCCATGGGGGCCCTTCCATATCTACCTGCCTGCCTGCCTCATCTGGGTGAGTCCAGCGGGAATAGTAACACAGTCTCTCCTCCCCTACAGAGGGTTGCCAAGACTAACATAGGTAAAACACTCAGGGTATTGTTTCTGTACAAAACGCACATTGCATACTAATATGTATTTAGGCATGTGTCTAATATGATACTGGTGCACAAAAGGTGAGCTGGATAGGGAGGTTAAAGGGTCTACATATGCAGGAAGAATAGATGATAATGTGGGTAGATAATACTGTATAGATACACAGGTGCTAGAGAGATGATACTAAATGGATAGATCTAGTTGAATAGAGAGACAGACAGCTTGCCTCTGTTTGTTGGACGTTTTATTCACTGAAAGCAATTTGGTGTTTTAATGTAGTCTGGGCCTGTTATTGATCCATCGCTCAAGAGGTTGAGCAGGGATAACCATCCTGGCTTCGTTTCAGAGCAGCTGGATTAGATACTCCGTGCCGTTTCAAGTCAGGCCGCTGGGATTCCTACTCTGTGAATTATAAGCAGTGCAGTGATCTGACATTAAGCTCCTTGGCGTGATTGTGTGTATACTCTTACAGCGTCTGCTTCCTTCCACGTTTCACATGAATCTTTCTGGGACCAGAAGTCAGCTCAGTGAGGATTCCTGTGGGCTTAATGTGCTACAAAAAGGGAAATGGGCTCTGGTGAATGATGTCTTTGAGAAAAGTCAAATGTTTATTTCCATAGAGCACAGACTCTCTGTAAATATTTCCCCTTGTCCCCGGAAAACTAACTGAATAGCTTACATAAGATATTTAGTTTTTTAATATGTTCTGGTCATTTTATTTTTCTTTTGCTTTTTGGGTCACACCCAGTGATGCTCAGGAATGACTCCTGGCTCTGCACTCAGGTATTACTCCTGGTGGTGCATGGGGGACCATATGGGATGCTGGGGATTGAATCTAGGTTGGCTGTGTGCAAGGCAAACACCCTACTCACTGTGCTATTGCTCCAGCCCTCTAGTCACTTTTGAATTTATCACTTACATTGCTGAAAGGGGTCTCAGTGTTTTTAACTGGAAAGAGCTCACTGAAGTTAATTTAGTGAATACTATGAAGCACTCTATATTTGTAAGACTCTTTATTGCTGTTGAGGGGTTAGCAAATTAGTCATCCTTGGCTGATGAGGCACTTGGATCTTGCCTGTCCCCAGTCTTTACAGCATCATATAACTTCAAAGGTGAGCATATCTACCAGTCTTTCTTTGATCTCTGGGACCCTGCGGACCTTCCGCTGGGGGCTCCCTTGTCTGCTGACCAGCTCTCTGGGTCTTGCATGCACCCGCTACCTCTCAGAGTTAGACCCTCTTCATCAAGGTGGCGTCTTTCCGAAACTCTGACACTGACTGACACATCCACTTTTTTTTTAGCTTTTTGGGTTACACCCAGCAATGCTCAGAGGTTACTCCTGGTTCTGCACTGAGGAATTACTCCTGGAGGTGCTCAGGAGACAATATGGGATGCTGAGAATTGAACCTGGATCAGCCACGTGCAAGGCAAACGCCCTACCCACTGTGCTATCACTCCAGCTCCAACATCTATCTTTTTAAAGTCTCATCTGATTGGATTGAATCCAACCAACTTGTCCTTTTTCCCATCTCCAGATCCTCAGTCCTAATCATATCTTCCAAACCTCTATTCTGCTGGGAGATCATTTATTGACAGGCATCAGGTAGAGGTGACATCACCAGAGCTTTTACCTTCCTACTCAGGTTGCCCTTCTATGCAGGCAAAGAGGAATGCTCCTCGAACCATCAGGCAGAGCAGTTCTACCCCCAGGAACCCTGGTGGTTCCTCTGCCAAGTGCAGGAGACATGAACTGTGTTTCTTTCGTCTGTTCATTGCCTGCTCATCTACCTGATC